CCTCCCGAGCCATCCTCTTGCCTGTCCGACGTCGCGCCCGGGTCCTCCTCGACATCTGAATTGCCACCTCGTTTGCGAAACAACGTCCGGCCGGATCCAATCGATCCAGCGCGCTGGGAATCGCCGCCGGGAGAGACAGACATGGCGACATGATCGTCGAGGCCGAAGTTACTCGACCGTCGTCCCGATACCACGCTCCCGCTGAGGTGACTCTGGCTCTGGTTCTGGCTCTGAAGCTGGCGCTGGTGCTCCTCCTCGTCCTCGTCGGAGGTGGACCCACTCTCCTCGCTGGAGCTTGATTCATTGCTCTTGTAGCCTTGTCCGTTCTTCGAGCGCGAAGTGCGTCGTTCCTTGGGCGCGGGTCTCAAGCCATTCTCGCTGAGCGGGTTCGGAGGGTAATGGAACACGAAGCGTGGGCCAGCACGGGAGCGGACAATTAAGATGATGGCAACCAGGCAGGGATCTGGTGGACGTGCAATTGACGACATTTGATGGCTGATGATTACTCCATTAGTAGTGTGTGGACTTTGTGAAAAAAAAAGGGTTGAGCGCAAGCCAACTGGGCCTTCCCCGGAGCAGCTGGGTAGGAGTGCGTGAGCTGAAATGGAGATACGTAGATAGCGGTGGTTTGGGGTTGTCGATCGCGGGATAATATCAAAAGCAAGTCTCCCCGCATCAAGTTTCAATAATGGCCAACTCTGGTCGTAACCACTAACCCCTTCACTGAGGATCTATACCTCTCATTCAAAACTGATAAATCTGTGTTCACTTGAAAAAAATATTAGGATCAAAGCATGAGTACGCTTTTCATCCGACCGCTTGGTTCAGAGGGAGGGCAGATTGATCAACCCCAACAGGCGCATTGGTCTTGGCCTTTATTGCTTTCATGTTGATATACAAGAGATGCGATATGTCCAATATATACAGATAGAGCAAATCCCCAGAACGCCGTGAGCAATATAGCAATAGTCGTGAGAGCTGGGGCATTCATATTCCTGACTTCATCATGCCCAGTATATCGTACACTCCCCATCTTCAGTCGCCAACAGTACTATGATTTTGTCCCTGCATTCTGCCCGGCCACTGTGTTGTTTTGCGCTTCCTGTTTGTCAAATACGAGTCCGAGATTTTTGAAGTCGTCGGGCGCCATAAGGTTCCTGCCCAATCGAGGATATTAGCATCATTCTTGCGAGATTAATGATTTGTATCGCGACTTGGCCAGGTCTATGTTATGAAGAACATTGTCACGGCCCAGACATACTTATCCATTCGACAGCTCAGATATCCCTTGGCTAACTTGCGACACTCTTCGTCGTTAACCCCTCTCCTCAGTTTCAGACATTTCAGATACTGGGAAATAAGGTGCTTGCATTCGCCTGTAGACTGTTAGCCCGAATTTTTGCGCAATCCGCAGTAGCAATATTTCATGGCAAGTGTCGTTTCCTCGAGAACTGATATGTTGCTGGAACGATCGGATTGATGGACTTCTCCACTGGGGTCCGAAGACAACACGGACAAAGAGAGTTACCTTCATGATCAAGTGGAAAACTCCCTCGCTCAGGACTAGTTGAGCCGATTAGCCGCTGTCTCGTGTCCGGTCACCAAGCGCATAACTCGAGAATTCGGAGCGGTGTAAAAAGGACTCACGGAGTAGGCTTGATATTGGTTGCGCCGCCACCAGGGCTTCCGAAACTCATCGCGATTCGATTATACGAACAGTGACTCAAGCAGACTGTGAGCAGTAATAATAACGTAAAATAGAGACGAATAGAGCCAATGAGTAAATGCGGTACGGAGTTGAGCTGTCAGATGTCGAAAATTGAGGCCGAAACCGACGGTTCTCAAACAGGGCAAACAGTCCAAACATGTGAGATCATCTTATCAGCCATTCAGAGATGCGAGAAGGACAGCATCAACACGGGATACTGAGCTTAGGTAGATGCTATGACCTCTTGATCCTTGTCATCGTGGCCTTGTAGCTGGTTTGTGCAGAATGTTCTTGATAAGGTATGTTTGCTTCATTGGATGAGGTGTTTCAGAGGTCTGGCTGTGCTTAGATTCTCCATATGATGCAAGCTATATATACATGACGTTGTTCCCCCGACTTGAGCAGCTGTACTTCAATACATATTCCCTCTAGACAGCCAGTTCTAAGAACTGTTGAATTCGCATTTTCGATCGCAAAAATACCCGTCAGGATGCCCATGTAAGTTCGCAAATTGGTAAACGGCATCTGCGTTCATATACATCCCTCGCTTGCCGTTCATATCAGACCAGCAACCACTGATACTGTGGACACAGGAAACTCGAAGGAAGTTGCCAGTGCGGCGGGGTGGAATTTACGCTCGATTCTCAAACCCCTGCTCCCTATCAGCTTTGTGCATGCAGCATCTGCCGCAAAGTTGGTGGCTATAGCGGCAGCGTCAACCTGGGAGGCATCGCCGATAGCCTCAAAGTCATCAAGGGGAAGGATCTCATCAAGTATGTATTGACTCCAGACATGCCCGGCACAGAATGTAAGGTCTTTTGATTAAGCGTTGGTCTGACAAAGGCAGGAAATACAACGCCATAAAGGACCGTGGCACTCCCAACGAGGTGAAGTGCTCGTCTGAACGTAGCTTCTGTTCCAACTGCAGTACTATGCTCTGGCTATGGGACTATCACTGGCCGGAGCTGATCCATCCTTTCGCATCTGCCATCGACACCGAGTTGCCGGTCCCAGACGAGATGGTCTGCATCATGGCAAGCTCCAAGCCATCCTGGGTACGATGGCCCGAAGGCAAGAAATCGGTGCATGATGTCTACAACGACGACAGCATTGAAGAGTGGCACAAGAAACACGACCTATTCCAGGAGTGAAAAATACGTTGCAATTATCATGTGATGTTTACTGAAGAATATATTAAGAAAAGAAGCATTAAAAACTCTTGCATTTCCCTAGGGCTTATAACAAAGCAATCTGACTGCAAATAACAAGTTAGCCGAAGTAACTTTCAGGCTTCCACAACAGATCATCGGAGAAGACGAGGTATCAGTTCTCCAAGGTGAAATGATGTTTTTCTTCAAGATGTATTCAGTAAGAACACAGCGAATCAAGAGATCATCATACAACGTCTGAGGCAAAAGAGAAGGGGCAGCACTCACACTGCAACAAACGTCGTTAGCAATGACTACGATGGAAGTATTCCTATAACCATTCGGACAATCAGCAAGTCTGCTCAGGACGAGTGGTGTGTGATGCAAGCGAGAACAAGTGTCAACTATAGTCAGGCTGTGACGAGTAAGCATATGTTTGAGCAATCAGGACCTCGCAGTACTAACCTCATTAAATCAGATTTTTGTTGTAAGATGTTCATTTCCAGAACGCGTGAGCGCCCAGATCAAACAGTGTGAATAACGTGTTCATCATGTAGAGTTGACCGATGAATGCAAGGGCAATTGATGGGAAGATTGAGTAAATATAAAATACCTAGTACAATTTGTTAGTCGTGTCCAAAAGCCCAAAGTACGACGATAACTGAAGACGGCCGAGAAAAGCTCAGGTGACGAGATCTCAACAAGTGATACACCTTCACAACACCCGCAGAGTTTGTACGCTCTACTTTTGATGGATGAGGGAAGCTGCACACAATCTGTCCGCCCGTTCGTTCAAGATATCTTCATCGAGGCGGCCGTCAAGGCAGTTTAAAGTAAAGCGGATGGTATTTACCTATTGTACAGCTCGTTAGTAATCGAGGACAACACTGGAATGGGATGAACAATTCAGGCATGATGTGAAGTGGTCAGACAAGGCTGAAACTTAAGTTTAGACAGATTCCACATGGTGATTAAGTTTGAGGAATGCCTTAGCGTGTCGTAGAGTCATCACTCAATGGCAAGGGGAAAGCAAGATGAAAAATTAAGAGCCAACGTACCTTTTACTATTGTTGATGGGATATATTCCAAATGCTCAAGCTATAGTTTGACTAGGATTTCCTGATAGACAGAACGTCAGCAAGGTATGCAAGAGAAAGACAGCAGGTCATCCAGTGACATGTGGGAAAGAGTCAGAGTAATTCTAGAGACTTTCAAAGGGTCCTTCATGAATTTTCGGACTGGATACTCCTGTTAAGGAATTCATCCTGTAAAGAAACATGTGTTGATGTATAAATTAGCATTGGGAAGCTCACCTTTTCTACGCAAATGTATTCAATGGGAAGCATAAATGCCAACGATCATTGTAAAGAGAATAAACAAGGAGCCAGAGGTTGGACAATCATCAAGTCCGTTGTGAGGCTTGCGGTTGTGAGGCTTGCAGTTGCAAGCTATGGTCGTCGGGAAAAAAATATTATTCTTGTGGGTTGAGATGAATTTTTATAGGAGGAAGCTTTAGCGTGCGGTAAGCGGCCTGTACCATAAGTGCTGTTTGACAACTTCTCAAACACTATGTATGGCATGGAGAGTCTGAGACCGTTGATGGGATGAGGTCCCTTCCAGAATCATGGATGTAGAAGAAAATGCTTAATGGCATATTGAGCTATATTACGTACTAAATCATCTACTTGAAGCTGAAGGTATCTGAATAGGAGAACGAGCTCCCTTTCGACCTATGAGCGACGCCCAGGACGTTGATCTTATTTGGAGTACGGAGTACTACCTATGATCTTGGCTTACTTCTACCTCCAAGTCAAAATCTAGAGCGCTTGGCCATGAAAATGACAAATGCCAATACAAATTCTTATTTCATGCCGTCAGTCTGTCTCGAGAAGACGTCATATTCGTCCGCATTAAGGCAGGGAATTCTGGCCTGGTTTTAGCTGGTCAACAAGGCAAAGGCTTTTGGACGTCAAACTGACGTAGAGTGCTCGGCTTTGATTCCCTGCCTTCTAGACGTGGCTCAATTTATAAAGTAAAGCTTTTGGCCGTAGGAAACAGTCTGTCAGTAGACCATCGAGTCGCCAGCTAGGATTGAGACCTCACTACACATAGTCCTTTGTTAATAATCAGAAGATCGCACGAAAATGCCGACTAAATTCAAGCTCAACACCGGCGCCGAGATTCCCGCCGTCGGTTTCGGAACCTGGCAAGACGAGCATGCCCAGGAAGACGCCGTCGCAGAGGCTCTCAAAGCAGGATACCGCCATATTGACACGGCCAGAGTGTAAGTGTGGATTTGGCTTTGTGTGCTCGAATGACATCCCGTCTCTGACGACGGACAGATATTTGACCGAAAAGGCCGTAGGAAGAGCAATCAAGAAGAGTGGTGTACCTCGAGAACAGCTTTTTATAACGACCAAACTGTGGAACAACAAGCACCATCCCGATGATGTCGCTCAGGCACTCGATGCTTCTCTCGCCGACTTGCAGTTGGATTATGTCGACTTGTTTTTGATACACTGGCCGGTGGCTTGGAAACGGGGAGATGACCTCTTCCCCAAGGAAAATGGGAAGTATGTCCTGGAGGACATTGACTATGTGGACGTATGTACATGCTTGCCATCAATCGGACCTATGTCCCGGTCACTGATCGCATGGTCGCAGACATATAAAGCCATGGAGAAATTGCTGTCTACCGGCAAGACCAAAGCCATTGGCGTTTCAAACTTCTCCAAGGCAGAGATCGAACGCTTGATCCAGAACACCTCGGTCGTGCCGGCTGTCCACCAGCTTGAAGGTCATCCTTGGCTGCAGCAGCGCTCCTTTGTCGATTGGCACAAGTCAAAGGGCATCCATGTCACGCACTACTCTCCCTTTGGCAACCAGAACGAGATCTACTCCTCAAAAGGTCAGATTGGCAAGCTGATTGACGACCCGGTATTGGTCGAAATCGCGAAGAAGTATAATAAGTCCTCGGCACAGATTGCTCTTGGTAAGTTCCCTTGCAGAGTACATTAAGCCGGAGATGACGTTCATTGACCATGCATCGCACATTCAGCCTGGGGTATCACACAGGGCCATTCGGTACTGCCAAAATCCAAGACCCCATCTCGAATCAAGGCCAACCTCGAGGGCGACTTCCGTTTGAGTGATGAAGATATGAAAAAGATTCAAGGCATCGACAAGAAGCTACGCTTTAATGATAGCAGTGCTGATTTTGGTCGGGACTTCTTTACCGATTTGGATGGAAAGGAGTCGGTTTGAGCATACTGCATTATTGTTAGTCCAATCAAAGAAATCATGTAGCCTAGAGCAACAGAGGGCCCGAGTTAGAAGGAAAAAGCTTAATTGATTCGATGACATCCCCAGAGAAGCTGATTGATCGTCAAAGAAATCCCCTTGGTTTCTTGGAAAATCGTGGCGCAGTTCAAAGTTCCAAGCCGGTGCTTACAAGATACAAGGCCTCTTAATCCCAGCAGCCACCCAAGCCATTCATTTGTCCTTGCTCAATCCGCCCTCATCACTATTTATGTGCTCGCATGACCGCTTTGGCACGAGTATTCCATCAAAGTGTTCAAGCGCAAATTCTCATCGTCTTGCTCAAATCGTCAAGATAGATGCTTGCGTAGCATACAGTCAGATCCATAGTCCAAGACCACTTTCACGATGCGCCCTGCGCTGAGTCGTATACCGCTGCGCTTAGTTTTATCCTATATCCTGGACTGGATCTTCATAGTGTATGATGACCGTCCCTGAACTGAATATCGATGAACACTGTGTGTATAAGAATCACTGTTGGACTGACATATTTACAGCATCGTTGCGGTGATAGGATATGGCTTTTCCAAGGTCAAACCGAACCATAGACCTTTCTCCTTGACCGATCCAAGCATTTCCTTTCCGTATGCGGAACATGATACGGTCTCGACTGCTGTCCTGGTTGTGGTATCTCTGATTGCACCGGCTGTCATTATTGTGATTGCGGCCGTGCTTATCCCCATATCTACAAAAGAGGACAATGTGTCTCGATCATCACTCTGGAGATACAAGCTATGGGAATGGAATGCAGGATGGATGGGCTTGGCGGTCGCTTGTGCATGGGCGTGGATGGCGACCGAGGGCTTGAAGGATTTATATGGCAAACCACGACCCGACATGCTTGCGCGTTGCAACCCCGATCTCTCGAAGATTGCAACTTATGCTGTCAGTGGCCTGGGAGAGAAGCTTGCGGGGGCCACCACCCTGGTGACTTGGGAAATATGCCAAAACAAGTCAGATGTACTGACAAATGACGGATTTTCAAGCTTCCCCAGCGGACATTCATCTTGTAAGTGTCTGATGCCTGAGCCAGAGGGTTACAAACGATTGACACCTTGCAGTTTCTTTTGCGGGTTTGACATACTTGACTTTATGGCTATGTTCCAAGTTCTCAATCGGATTTCCATATCTCGGCCACTCTTTGTTGAACCAAAATCCGATCGGCCAGCCACACGGATCAATTCGAAAGCGCGGAGCAGCCCCGCCGGTTTATATGCTTGTCATCGCCTCTGTGCCTATTGCAGTGGCCAGCTTCATTGCTGCTTCCCGCTGGTTCGACCATCGTCATCACGGTTTTGACATTCTGTTTGGCAGTATCATGGGCGCTATATTTGCATGGATCGGGTTTCGAATGTACCACCTCCCGATCACGCGAGGCGCAGGGTGGTCTTGGGCGGCAAGAAGTCGCAGACACGCGTTCTTCAAGTGCCCCAGATTCCCAAGTGAGGCAGATGGAGACACACCAATTGACATTCACGATACTCAAAAGACAACACGGCAGGATGCTGACGTGGAGAGGGCAGCTGAGAACCTGGTATAAGATTCCAACTGCGGAGAGACATTTAATATTCGACACAGCGGTGGAGTTCGAGGTAATAATGTGTGCATGGAACATGGAATGCGAATATGCCAGTCATAAAGATAGTATTTCGAGCCATCGAGAGGTATACTCTGTGTATGTTAGTTAATATGATCAGGATGATGATAGTAGACATATCTTTTAAGGTTCTGAAACATACCAATCCTTCATCTCCATCCACCAACTCTGCCTTCATCCCATCTGGCCTTGGCTTCTCTTCTCGCGGCCAACTTGGCAGCCTCAGCTCGTACTCGTCTGACCCAATCTGCGACCTCCTTTTCAGTCGCTCGTCCGGGATGCTCTTCTTCGAGGAAGCTTTCCTCCACCGCTCGACAAACAGCCTCTTGCTCGGAAATAGAGGCTGATAGCCGTTGGTACAGAGCCTTGGGTGACCACGGCGCCAAGGCAGCATCCATTTCTGATTGTTTCTTTCTCCATGAAACTTCTAGTGATTGATGTTTCAGAAGAAGCGTCTCAGTCGAAGCGCGTTGTTCTTCCAGGCGCGCTTGCAGTTCGAGAAGGTGTTTGGTTAGATCCTGATTGTATTTGAGGAGAGATTGGAGGTTCTGTTGTTGGGCTGTGCATGACGGGTGTTGACTGGCCAAGGCGGAGGTGAGATTGGGGTCTTTAAGAATTGCCTGCAGATCAACAGTCCTACAAAATTAACAACCCAATATTTAGTGTATTGATTCCCTCGCGACAGTGGCACTCGGAAAAAACATACGATTTGTCTTTCACAACGTCTGGTAACCAGCCTTCTTCCACTGTCGGAGGCTTCGGTAGCGAGTTGAGGTTGTTGGCATGGACCGTTTCAGTCATGGAAGGAGACTGATATCTGTTTTCCCCATTCTTCCCTTCCTGAGCTTGGTAATATCCCCGGAATTGCTGCGTTGGCGTGCCTGGTATGGACTGATTGAGCTGCGGTGTTCCCCTTCGACTCGTTTCATGACTACTTGGCTTCGGAGGCGGAGGTGGAGGAGTATCTGGATTGAGTGCAGGATTCATGATGATAAAAGCCACAGGCAAGAACTGTAGTCCAGAGCGTATCCTGGATTGGGTCTGAAATGATGTGCGTGATGTCCTGTGTACCTTCAGTGTTCACCTCTGAAGAGGATGCGGGGAAAGCTGCTCTGCCGCAATCACGTGCATAGTACAGAATACAGGTACGGAGTACATTGTTCTTTATCACGAGGACTGTACATCCAACCTTGGTTTGAAAGGTATTCAGCGTCCTTCAGGAGTGAATAATTGATTACGTGAAAATCAATCCTCAAATGCAGCTTGGAAGTGAAAAGCTGTAAATAGTTGCATGTTCCGAGCTTGAATACTGCCGAAATGGTAACTGGGCGCCTGGGAGGAGAGTGACCATAAGTATTTATGAAATTTGACACATGAACATCCAAAAAAGCTATGCATATCAGCATGGCAATACAAAATAGCCTGGAGTGGCGAAGGGCTATCGCCTCTCCTTGAATATCCCAAAGATGTGCATGCTATCTGGAAGTTTTGCTGGTCTTGGCGAGGAAGGCGGACCATCAAAGATCTACACAAATTTGACAGCACATATGCCTTCGTGATGACATTGAGAACTCCATATTCTCATCTTGAGACGATGTGCAAGGGACACAATGGCTCTGAACGTTGCAGAGTCTTCGACTGGCCTAAGCTGACTGATATCTCGGTTTCACCCTCGAGTTTGGAGGCCTTGCCAGCCTGGTAACAGGCCCCAGCGTGTGCACCCTTCCGAGCAATGGTGGTAATGGAATTGGGGACAGTGTCATATAGCTTTTTGGCATTTATTCTCATCATCACGGCTTCGATTCCTCTGTCCTATTCCGTTCTCCGTCGAACATCTCTGTCCTGTGTTTCAATATTGGAGCCATTAAGGGCATCCATAACCAGCTGTCGTAGCTGGTTTTGCGTAGCTTCGCTGTGAAAGTCCTCCCGCGCGGCCAGCTCGTCAATCCTGCGTTTGAACTCCGGGTCCACCTGGTCCGTCCCTGCACTCGCTTCCTGCTCCGATACTGTTTCCAGATTGAGACTGATATTTGGCGGCAATGGAGGAGGAGTATTGAAGGCGTCTAATGATGAGCCTGCAGGTGCTGATGGAGATATGCCCATAACTTTTGCGAGGTATGCTGCGACTTCGGGAAATGAGCCATCGCTCTCAATGGTCTCCTGCGCCGTTAACCCTTCATCGTTCCTCTTATTATAGTCCACACCTAGCTCCTCGACGAGACATTTGGCGATATCAGCATTCTCAGTGACAAATAGGCAGGTCTCGCCGTCCTCATCGAGAAGGTTGACGTCCACATTAAACTCTCTGACAAGCGCGCGTAGGAGGTCGGCATGGCCATACGAAGCCGCAGCGTGCAAGAGAGAGTATCCGTGCTCATCTTGACAAGATGCGACGGCTGGATTCGAGCGCAAAAGAGTCAATAGGGCGGAAGGGTTATCGGCGGCCAGAATGTAGGGGTTTGGTTGAGTCATTGTGACTGTACAGTAGCAACAGATCTGGGCCTAACGAATGAGTCAACGAAACCAGGGTCAATTCCAAATCGCCAAGAAATAATGAAGCCATCCGAAATTTCATACCTGATAGTGCAGATTGCGATGATGCTGAATGGTTAAACAGATCAAAAGTTTATTGAGGTTGATAATGGTAGTCGGGCGGTGATATTTTTTATTTTCCTTTCCCCTCTGCTGCCCCGCAAATCAGACATTGGTATGATCTCACTCGTTTTTTTTTGTTTCGGTCTCAGTTTCTTCTTCCACAACAGATCACGGTTGACTCATATAATTCAGGCAGACATCGCAAGGCTTTTTCTCGAGCACGAGGCAAGGGTAGCCTCTCGCTTCTCAGAGGTTAGGGGGCCTTTTTAATAAGAAGCTTCTCTCACACTCTCCCGCTAGTCATTCTGGCATCGCTCGTCTTTGCTGCCTTCCTCTTCAATTTCTCCTCCTTTCCCTCAAAAGAATCACCATTGTACACAGCTACACCTTGCAATTATACTGGTGCATCTCTATAGTGAATCTTGATAACAATTTCAATATGGTTCAACAAGATCCTCAGGAAGTTGCGCATCTGGTTGAAGCCCTGGAGGCCTCCAGTAAGAAGAATAGACGCGAAGGGAAGAGAACATTTACCTGCAAGAAATCGACTTTCGCCGTGGCAGGCTCAGATATCTCTGTCGACTCCTGGAGGTTTATGGACTGGGATTACAAACGCAATAATCTTCCGACCTATGCCCGGGGTCTGTTCACGAGCAAGAGGAAAGACGGCACTCCCGAGATTGTAGTGCGCGGTTACGACAAGTTCTTCAATATCGATGAAGTGCCTACTACCAAGTGGCACAGTATCGAGACAAACACAAGGGGCCCCTATGAGCTCAGTGTCAAGGAGAACGGGTGTATCATCTTCATCTCCGGCCTGGAGGACGGTTCTTTACTTGTTTGTAGCAAGCATTCGACTGGAGTTCGACAGGACGTGAACCTGAGCCACGCTCAAGCCGGGGAAAAATGGGTCGAGCGTCATGTTGCATCCACAGGAAAATCCGTCAAGGACCTGGCCAGAGAGCTGCGCAGGCTCAACCTTACCGCTGTTGGAGAGCTCTGTGACGATAGCTTCGAGGAGCACGTCCTTGCTTACGATCCGGTGGCTGCAGGAATATATCTTCACGGCCTGAATTTCAATGTACCACAGTTTGCGACGTTGCCGAGCTCAGAAGTACATAAATTTGCAGATGCATGGGGGTTCAAGAAGGCCAAATTCCTCGTATACGATGACATCCATTCGGTCAAGAAGTTTCTCGATCACTGCGCTGAGACCGGCACTTGGGATGGCCGTGAGACGGAGGGATTTGTCATCCGGTGTCAGCTAAGGGAAGCGGGAGGCCCGTACATGGACTGGTTCTTCAAATACAAATTCGAGGAGCCATACCTGATGTATCGACAGTGGCGTGAATGTACCAAAGCGATTATCGCCGGGAAGTTTCCGACCATCAGAAAGCACCAGAAAATTACCGAAGAATATCTTCATTATGCTCGGAGGCAGCTCTCCCAAAATCCCAAGCTGGCCGACCTCTATAAGCAGAACCATGGGATCATCTCCATGCGGGAAGGATTTCTCAAGGAGAGAGGCTTAAAAGCATCAGATATCATCGCGATGGAAGCCGGGAACCGTGAGAAGGTGACCCGAGAGGTCATTCTAGCACCTATCGCTTCACTTGGCTGTGGGAAAACAACACTGGCTCTCGCTCTAACCAAGCTTTTTGGCTGGGGCCACGTCCAGAATGATAACATTCCCAAACAAAAGAACAAACCGAAGAAGTTTGCATTCGAAGTCGCCAATCTCCTCGCGGACAAACCAGTCGTGATCGCGGATCGCAACAACCATCAGAGGCGGGAGAGAGAGCAGCTCATGGAAGATATACTCCCTGGGTTTCCAGGCGCACGGCTTGTAGCTCTTCACTACGTTCACGAACCGAAAGACGTTTTACTTCCTTCAATCAGAGAGGTCACGCGCAAACGAGTCCTAGAGCGAGGAGACAATCACCAGACCATTCGCGCGGGAACGAAGAACTCGGATGAGATTATCGGCATCATGGAAGGCTTCTTGAACCGATTCGAGGGAATTGACACGGAGCGCGAACCCGACAGCGGCTTTGACCATGTCATCGACTTGGATGTTGCGGCATCTTCTCGAGAGAACCTCGAAACCGTGGTGAACGCGCTGCATTCATTCTACCCGGATCTTCTGCAGCGGGTTCCCACGTCGCAGGAGCTCGACGGTGCTATCAACTGGGCGATGACGGATTACCATGTCCAAATGGACCTTAGCTACAGCTACGGATCCACGAAGCCAAGCCAGAAATCGAACAAGAACAAGGGTCAGAATGGCGCTGTGCCGACCCCAGCACACGCTCCGGCCCCAGCTCCCACCCCAAGCCCCGAAGCACTAGCCCAGAAGATCGAATATTTCTGCATCTCTATCCCAACAGCTGAGGTCACTAGCCTCCTGCATTCGCTCTTCCCACCTTCCACACCCCCGGAAAAGGCACGTCTGTACCATCATCTTGTCAACTCGCGCCGCCTCCAGCCCACCTTCCACGTCACCCTCATCCACCGCGCCAGCAAGTCCGAGCGCGCCGATATCTGGGACCGCTACGCGAACCAATACATCGCCAAGATGAAGGAGCAGCCGCAGGCCCAGACCGCAACCCCCGTCCTGACTCCAACCCTGGCGCCCGCGCGGGTGCGCCTCGAGCGTCTCATCTGGGACGACCGCATCATGGCCTTTGTCGCGCGCATCATACCCCCCGAGGACCGCGAGCAACCCGACTGGCCGTGTGCGAATCCCATCCCGCACGTAACGGTCGGCACCGCCTCGGCGGAGGTCAAGCCCAAGGAGAGCAATGACTTGCTGCAGAGGTGGCTGGAGGTTGGATCGGGCGGGGAGACTGGGATCTGGGAGGCGGAGATCCCCGGCGTCAAGGTTGTGCAGGGCTCAGTCGGGTTGGTGATGAGCCGGGGGAAGTTGCTGAAATGAGATTGAGGTTTTGTAATGAGTCTACCCAGGCGATGGAATTGTCAGCGACCTGAACATACGTGTTCTATGCTACGCATCTACCCTACTTAAGGTAGCGCCAGAAGTAGGCTTAAACCAACGCAGTGAATACCAACAGTTAGTGATTATCCTCCCCATGCCTTTCGTAAGCAAGCTTCGAGTATGTCCACGGCAGGGCTCTCCTTGATCACTTCGGATTGTTCCAGCGATCAGTCTTCGAACACATTCGGTTGATGGTTCTGCTCTAAAGTCTATTAGGTATCCATGATAAGGTGTACGGTACATGTATAAAGTCATCAAATCTAGCCTCATAGTAGATGCATCAGAAGCTCCCAAATCCAGACAGGTAGGCAAAGACTCATACAATGCAGACAAACGCTACGAAAGCCGTCAAAATAGTACACAGTCACCAGCAATACAGCTGCAGCATTCCGAGAATCTAAAGGAAAGATAATGTGGGAAGGATATCAGCTGGTCATCCAGGCTCCAACGCGCTGTGCCCCGAATCGTCCCATGAATTGCAGTCCGGTGCTACCCATGGGGAAATAACTGACCAGATACCAGGCCAGGGCTGCAAGTTGGAAAATTGATGAGATGAGCGTTAGGAGGGTGGAGTGGAGCTGTTTCGAGTTCAAGGTCAGCAGCAGTTCTATAGTCTTATCACGCAAATATTCCAGTGCCGTGCGGATGCTAGTGCCAAAAGGAGAGGAAAGATGGACGGTAGCAGAACGAGAAGCCGTCGAGTATCAGGGTATGGCCCCGATCGAGGTCTGCACGATGCAACCACAAGGCCGAGAGCTCATAACAAGGGAAGCGCAGGTGCATGGTGATGTCATCGTAAGAATAAGAACGCTGACTTGCATATGCAAGCGCAATTGAGAAAAAGGAAAAAAAAAAAGAAAGAACAGAAGATCAAAAGCGAAATGCAAAAAAAGAGAATGCAGGATTTTGAATTTGAAATGGCGATGCATGCCGTGTCCGGCACCATCCCGTCATAGGCGCCGGCGGCCATTTAGGGCAAGGGACATTATCAAGCCGCGAGTCCCGGCCACCGGGGCAGGGATGGCCCACAGAGATGAGGAATTCAAGGCACTTACTCCGATAGCGAAGTAGAGAGTCATGGCAATCGAGCCAAAATAGGCGGCAGTAAACGGTAGCCGTGATCCCGAGACCAAATGCCTAGCGTAGACCAGGGGTCCCATGAGGACAGCCCATGATAGTAGAAAGAGCAGAGAACCGACAGACCATCTGGGATCAAAACCGGTTGGAGTCAGTCCAAGTGCAGAAGGTATTACATGCCCCCCCAGCCACGGCGCGACGAGTGCTGCACCGCCTCGTGCCCCTCCCTTAAGGTTGCGTGGAAGAATGCAAGGCGGGTGCAGGGTGGATGATAGTATCTGGCGGGATCTGGAATGGCACTTACAAAATGGCAAACTTGCGGGGTTTCAACGATAGCACTGGAAAAAGGAAAAAGCAAATCATGAAGCACACTGCGGCACCCAGGTTGCAGGCGATGAATATGAGCATCCGATCCCATCGGCTTACTAGAGAGGACGACGTTGATCAGTACGGTTGAAATTTCAACTCCAAAAAATACAAATGTATCCCCCGCCACTAGACGTTTCGTGAAACCCAACTAGATGCAGGAACTAAGTCCCAGTCACCTGGACCAGGCGTAGGAACCCAGACAGGAGGACGGTGATCCGGATATTTCGGTCATGAGCGAGGATGACTTACGGGCAAAGAAACCTTCTTCCTCCTCCCGTCGAGTTGGAGCCGGTAGGGGAGCTCCTGGAGCTTCATGAGTGGGCAGTTGCAAATAGCCCTCTCCTTGGCCGAACGGATTTAGTGACTGTAATTTCGATAGAAACGGAGTGGAGGAAGTGCTGGTACGTGCTGGTAGATCCGCATCTCTTCGAGACCAGCCCAATGAGTTGACAGAATCTCGAAACGAAGTAGTAGCCATGACTCTGATTCGGCTCTTCTTCTGGTTTGTCAAGTCTTGTCACCTACCAAAAGACGATGAAGAGGGTGGGGGGCTTCGTTGCAGACGCTACAGCTACAGCTAGAAAGGTAAGCGACTCGCAGACCACTGAAGAAGCCGTAGTAGGATTTCAAGCTGAGGAAACGCCTGCAGGGACTATGCACGACGGAAACCAGTATGTGCGTGCAGATGATCTGCAGGAATCAAGAATGGGGTGTGTGAATGCAACGCAGACACAGAGAAAAGCAAAATCAAATAGGAGAGATGGCTGTTGATAGGGTCAAGACAAGGCGGGCCAGATGACTATCGCGCAACTGGACTAGACTCCCGAGGAGCTTGGGCACGGGATGATATCTGTCTAGCGCCGCCGACTGATAAAGATAGCCTTTCTTGACGGCAGTCTAGTTGATGTCTCAAGCTTGTGATCGCCGTCTCCAGAGCTATGGTGGTGTGCGAGCAGGCCTCAGCTAATCGACAGCTGTATTTCCCCCTCCCACTGGACGAGTCAGAGTCGCTTCTGGATGGACAGAAGGTGTATCAAAGGAAGCGCGATTCCACTATCAAGTTCAGAAGCGAGAGAAGTCCAAGCTGGGATATGTCCGGTACGAGTAGAGAGTGCTGCGGAGAACGGGAAATCAACGCACAGCTGCACGATGACGATGCTGTTCCGATAGCGTAACGTCGGAAGATACTATTTCGAGCTGCGAGAGTATAAAAGGCGGTCGTCGATAGGCTGCAAGATAATCAGTCACTGTCATATGACTCAGGTCGAGCAAGAAGGGGAAATGGTGAAGGGAGGGGTCAATAAGGGTTAAGGAGGGGAGGAAAGTTAGTAGTCGATTCTCAACTCGAGGCAGCAGTGGGAATGGTCGGACAAGGCTGCTAAGGTACATACCTCAGTATACGATTCAGCAAATGCTTGTAAAATGAAAGCGGCTCCGCAAAGTGGTAGACTACTACCCTAATTCAGCGTCGGTGTTGAGATCTATTGGTGTTTGTTTCACTTTTTGAACCGGCGATGATAATGACCTTGACGAGTGATGATGATGATGATGATGATAATAATAATGATATGGAATGTCCCCGATGGCCGCAACAGGAGCTCTGCTGGGAGAGTTGGGCTAGCGTTGGGGCAGCTAGCCAATGGGAGAGCTGCAAAGAGTGACCGGTGATCAGATGACGGGACTAAGCCCAGAAGAGCTGGTGTCACCCTTTCAAAGCTGGGCTGGCCAATGAAAGGTTGTAGATGCCGTCTGCTGTTCTGCTTCAATAAAATTGATTGGTTGACCGTCTCGTGGCTGCCCTCCTTGTCCCATCACCACCTCTGGGGTAAATCATCTCCCTATCTGGTTCTACTGATGTGCATTTGCTTTGTATTGCCAGTACCATAATTGACATTGTTTGGCATGATAATAATAAGATATACTTGATGGGGAAAAAGCCTGAACTAGGTCAAAACATACCCGAAAATCTGTGGAATGAGGCTAAGAGATGAGACACTATGAGAAAGAGACCCTCAGTTCCAGAAAGAGGCAGTCAGCCAGGCACTACAAAAGACCGGATCCGAAGGTGCAAAGAGTAGCTTAGGCGGTGTCATTTACAGTCAAGGTTGTAGATCCTATCGAAGCACGCCCCTGCTGGCAACCTTGCTTGTCAATTGAGTCGATCTCCGCTAGAGCTGCCATGCCATTACTTGCATTCTGAGACCTGATGCCGAGCCACATCGGTGTATTTCGGAAGAGTCATCCGAGAATGATTCATGCACTCAGGGTATAGATATAGATTCATGCAGGTGAAGTTGCATGTTGGTCGCATTGCGTGGCGCTTACAGAAAACTTGTTGCATCTGGAATCGGTGCTGTGGTAGGTAGGATATGGGAACTTATGCGGGAAGACAGCAGCATAGCTAAGTATTATCCGATCTCTGTTGCTTTTATAGAGTAAGCAGGTACTTACTTTGTAAATGTTACACCCCGGAAGCGAGGCGGGAGATAGACACTTAATCCGAGAAAATATCTTATCATTGGAACCGGCTAGATACCTACTGCTTCAGTAGATGATCCATCCGTCCAGCGGATCCAGCGGAGATATTCTCCCTTTAACCTCATAAGAGGTTGATAGACAATCGCCATATCAAGGCCCATTATAGGACTGGGGGGAGGAACAAAGCGGAGCAGATCGGACCGAATCAAGAAAAGGCGAAACAATAGCTGACGTATGCGGTGGGGGAGGAGATATCAGAGACTCAGGAATAGGATATAGAGGACTATCTACCTATTTACCGAGAGGTAGTTAGGCAAACCCCGAAACGGGGTCTTTCGCAACCTTAGGGTACTGTATTGTAGTATCCATTAAAGGCTCTTTGCAGCGACCATGGGTTGCTGTTGGCCATAAACCATGCACTCCGAACCTTGACGGGACGGGACGGACACGAGCCAGAGCACAATCTCCAGCATCGGCATGGATTTCAAAAAGGAAAATGGAGTAAACTGGAGATATCTATAATAATATCAGAGGAGAGGTCAAATAAAGCGATATAGCTCTGATTGCCTCTACCATCTTTAGAAAGTTAGACTCCACTATGATCATCTCACATAGGAAGCTGGAGTGACTGAGCTCATACCTACTCTATGAGCTTACCATTTCTGAACCGTTAAATACCATCCGAGAACCATGACTTCATAGTCATGCTCAACAATCAAGATCAGAAACCAGGCATTTGGCCAGTTATAGATTGTCCTCTATCAGGTCGAATATGAGTGAAAATGCGGGTTCATGGGTCCATTGCTGACAGCATTCCGGTCATTAAGCTTCCCCCGCATTCTTCTGACGATATAGGCCTAGTATTCCAAATCATGATCGAAATGGAAAAGATCGAGGTATGAAGCGCGACAGCCGTCAATATTCGCACACATACTTGTCTTCGCTCGATCATCAAAGTAGTGATAAGATAGGCCGAATATGAGACGACAAGTGCGCCAGAAAAGACCTAGTGTCTA